TATGTGTGAATTGTATCTGTACTTATCTTGTGATCTTCGTTTGGTTGTGTTTTGTGTTTTGTGAATTTTTGGTAGAAATGACAACACGTTTGAATTGTGCATCTTTTAATGAAAAATGTGATTTTTTAATTTGGCAAAACGAAGACGTTTTTCATAAAACCTTTGGTGGCAAATGTGGTCTAAGGCAAGTGCGAAAAATAAGATGTATCTTAACTGCAGTAAATTTGGACAAGGTAGAATATGTTGTCCTAGGAATGATAATAAAAAGAAAGATGAGGTGAGAGACGAGGCGAATGAGGCTATATGGTCGATTGATGACCTTAGCGAGGTTTATTGAGTGTAAACCTAGTTACTGAATGTTAATCCGTGTGTAATCATTTTTCCATGTGTGTGATTGCTCAATTCCGTTACATGATTATGTATTGCATTTTAATGTGTTTGATATGAGCATTGGCATGAATTGGAGTGATCTTATTACTTGGTGTAATTGTTTGCATGCATAGTGGGTTAAGATGCATTAGCAGTGTGTTGTATGTCTTTTAGTAAGTTGAAGTATAGATGCCTAGGTGCACATTGGTGGTTTGTACCGGGGATGTGGAGTGTGATAATTGGATCACGAATGAAGAAGTGATTAAATGTCTGAAATTCTTTATCTGTGAAGAGACCATGATCAGGTGTAGTATGAGAGAGGCACTCCTATCACTTATGTTAGGTGGAGACCCATTATCTACGTATGTTGGGAGAAGTGATGCAGTGATAGATGATTATCTCAAGAATTTAGGATCGATAGAGACTTACCAGTTAGACATGAGTTGGGTGATCATTGTGAGCATGGTGGACGATGAGGTGAGATAGGTGTTCTCGAGGTGTGAGCAACACGAAATTGGATATGATAGGTGTAGTGAGATCTTTTCGTGGGATCATTTATGTATTTGTTGTATATGTGTTGGCCGTGTGCTTGATTAACTTGGTGTTAATCTATTATTATGTGTGAACGTATTTATTTAGAAGGATCTTTAAATTTCATCGAAATCACACCCATTTGAGGTCAAATTTTGTTAGCCCATAAATGATTTTCCAATAAGTTCAGAAGTTTTCATGAACAGTATTAACTTTCACAAACCCTAAAAAGCCCTATAAAAACTGGCATTCCAATGGCCTAGAATCCTTAAATGAAAACTAGGAAATCGTGTTAACATTGTATAAACAAAAATTAGAGGACATCCTTCGAGTAAATATTCTACGTACATTCAAGAAAATCTATATGCATATATTGTTTTCATTGACATCTGGTTATTTTTATCTTCCTATGGTTACAAGATTCTATCAGTTTCTTAATTTTTTTCATAGTCCTCTTTGAAATGTTGCTTTCAACGGGAAAAAATGGCTTTTGAAGAAACGGAGACCACCGACGTGACATGCAGGTGGAGGAGATCCTGGTGGTGAGGCACCTGACCGAAGGCGGTGGCTCGTGGAGCAGAGAGCTTGGGCGACGAGGAGGACGCATGGATGGTTTTCTGGCGACGGTGTTTCAGGCAGTTTGTTCTTGACATGTTTCTTGACATTTTGGTGTTGTTAGTTTTNAGAGATGAGTATGTGATCATCATGATAGTTGAAGATTCCCGTTTTAGTCAATTAAATGTTTACATTTTGATAAAAGTTGACAAAATATGTGGTTGATAAAAGTTGTGGATTCCATAAAATGCATGGTTGAAAATAAATTTGGAAAAAAAAATGAGGGCTAATTTAGACCACGGGATAAAGCATAAATTACGCAATATACAATATACGAAGTTGATTCAAGTCTTTAGATCTTTGTGATTTGCAGAAATGGTCCCATTTTTATTGGATATATTTAAGCAAAAATGATGGCAGAATTGGTCATCTGTTTCATTTTTCATCGCATGACTATTTTTCTAACACTTAGGTTTTATAGTTTTTGGCAATCTTTAAAACAAAAATATAGTAATAAAAGAATTTTAAAAGTCAAAGAGTCAATTTGTGGGTTGTATAGATGAACTAGGAGTTTTTGGGTCTTACTCGTCTGTCGTCTGCATGTTGTTTGAGCAATGTACGTGTGGCTCGTCTGGCTTTCGAGCGACGATTTTTTTGGAAAAATCTTAGTTCATGATTTTTAAGAGTTTTATCTATCATATACTATACCAAAACCTCTATATTATAAATACCCAAATCCCACTTTGTGAAAAAAGTTGGTTGAACATTATTTTATATAAGAAATCATGTCCTACACATCATACATATAATTCAATCTTCTCTTGATTCAACCAAATCATTGAAAATATTAAATCTACATAATCAAAATACCAAAACCTATGCTTCCACATAATCGTCAGGGTTCTGAAGATCAAGGAAGGTGATCGGAGCTCCGATTAAAGGAGAATGAGGAGTTCTTAGGTGATCCACAAAAAATAGGCAATTCGAGAATGTCAGGAGCTGGTGCAGGATCTCGCGGTCTAGGAGGGCCTTGATGATTATAGTTAGGAGGTTAGAAAATACTAGAGTCAGTCGAGTCTGGACCATACTATAAGTTGTTTCTTTTATAGTGGATTATTGACCTGCAAAGTGCCCGAAATTTTAATCATTTGCGAAGAGTTTTCTCCATGATCAATTTAGTGTTCTTTACTACTTTCGTATTACAAATTTTGGTAATTCAACTTAGGATAAATTGACGTGATTGATTAATCTAGAAACAGTTAAAAAGTGAATTGTTACTTTTAATTGTGTTTCCACACGTTGGGTATAAATATTCGATAAATTTAAACTTTCACTTACAATTATAGTACTCCAAGTTTCACGAAAATTTCTGTTTTCTTCTACCTGTTGGGCATCAACTAGATTTCATTTTGATCATTAATAAGAGTAGGAGATTTGCACAAACAAGCAGCAACTAGAGGAAGAGTTGGAGTTGGAACTACAATTAGGTGGTATTAAAAAAAAAAAAAAGATTTCTCACCATCTTGTTATCTTAGTGAAGCCACTGGTGTTTCTGAATGTTATATATAGCTGAGAATTTTGATTATTTGCTTGATCAACTCTTGTCTTCATCGACATTTTCTTCAAGTAGGCTGCTGAAAGCTTACTTTAATCGTAACTCAAAACTCCAAAATGCAAAAACAAATAAACTGTATGTATATTTATAGATTAGGGTTAGGTTTAGGGCTTCAATTGTATGTATATATAAAATTAAGGTTTAAAGGAAGGGAAACAAGACAGATTATTTTTTTAAAAAGACGTATTTTTCTTTTGTTTTCATAAGTAAAATTCATGAATCTATTTTTTGAAGGATAGGGTTATAAAAATATAACATTACATTACCTTGAGATGGATTTGAGATTTTTTCAGGCATGAGTTTGAAGTTTAAAAGTTGGGGGTACTGCTAGAATATTAGACCCATCAGTCCGACCAATGATTCGCCAGTTCAAAAAATGAGTTTGTGACTCAAAGGTTTGGCAGAGTCAACGTTCACATCTCGAGTTTGATAACTATTGACTTAATTTTATTTATGAGTAAGAAAAAAGGATCTAAAATATTTAGAAACAAGAAAATTCTTAAAAAAAAGTAAATTTAAGCATAGCCAAACATGGTGTTATATACTAAGGAACACGCTTTTTTGAATATGAAGAATGACATGCCTCGAGAAAGCAGCTTCAGAACTTAAAAAATATATATAAAGCTTATTATTCCTTAATAATAATCAAATGTTTTTTGTTTTATCTGAACGTGAATGGCTTGGAAATGCAGTCGCACGCCAATAATGACTGGTCGCCCGTGACATTTGCATTACATAATTATTTAATTGACCTTCATTTTTTGTTCCCTTTCGTATGTTGCATGTTATTTTGAAATGTTTTATAAGTACCGTAAAAATAATATTTGACAATCAATTTA